TCTCGCATCGTGACGCTGCTGCCCGTCGCATCTCCGAGCACGTGGGTTTGCCCCTTGCTGTCTCGCACCGTTGCCTTGCCATTAATGGTGCTACGGCCGCGCCTGCCACGCTACCCCACCGCCTGCATGCGCACGTTTTGGCTTTGGCTCCTGAGCACGTGTCGCCCTGGTAGCGTCGACTGCACCCTGCCAAGGCGAGGACAGACCGAGCCGGACCTACCTCTTCCCCCTCCTTGGCATTTTCTTCCCTGTCGCCATGGCCGATGAAGCCGCTTCCTTAAATTCGGCAGATACAAGTCACCTCATGTCGATTCACTGCATCTCTGGCTCCACCTGTGAGTTGTCTAGCCGCCTGACCCTACCCCGCCTTGACTCACGTCACGACGAACTCCAATTTTGGAGTCGCTCGTCGCCGGGCCTCTAAGGCCGCATCGGCAAATGCCGAGAGCATTCATCCTCCCTAGAGCCTCTCACGTTCAACCAATCGCATCACAAGCTTCGTCTCCCTCTCCACTTCACCCTGCGCACCACTACCTAACCTCTACTGCCTTCACGCCGCAGCTGACACGGCCGTGCCGTCGCGGAGCACCGTCGCACCCCTCTGGTCGCACGCAGCCAGCCTTCTCTGCCACCCCCTGGCTCCAACGAACGCTACAACCGAGTCCAGGGTAAGCTAAGGATGCTCTCGCAATAGCTCGTTGTTGTGGATTCTAGTCATGTCACAGACTTATTATCTTGAGCACATACTTGCTTATGGGAGCGGGAAGGCTCGTTGCTCTCTTGTTGTGGGTTCCGGCTCTTTCCGGACCGACTGATTGGAGGCGGCGATGGTGGAGGTCTAAGCACCACACTAAGTCTGGGACACAGGAGTGGTGGCTTGGAGTCCAAGTTTGGACGGGGACCTGGACCCCTTGATAGGAGAGTGATGGGTTGGTCTTGCTTGTGCCTGGGGTGCAAGCGGGGCGTGTGTTTCAGGGTACCCAGCTGGGATACATTGGTTCGCGAATCGCTGTGTGATACACTACGACTTGTCTACGATCTAGCACCGTAGTAAGAACTAGAAGATGAAAGATGATGAAATGGATCTGATTGCTCAACTCTTACTTAAAAGTAGAACATGTGCTTACATAGAATGGTTAGATAATGAACTAATCATGATGGCTAATAAGAAACATACACAAGGATTTACTACTAGTAATGTTTTTCACAAAAAGGAAACCTAGCAAACCATAAAGCTTATCATATTCTTTGGAGTCAGGAAATTATTCCCACTAGTCGGGTAAGTCTTGCCAGTATATTGTGTAGTCATGGTTTATTTACTTCTATTACAGGTGCAGCTTGAGGAATGGCTGTTGTGTGGAGGATTCTTCTGGTGGGCACAGACGGATCCTTGTATCTTATCGTTAGATGTTTATTTCAATTCCGCTGTTTAAATTCCGCACTCTGAATTTGGTATTCTAATAATGTATTTTCGAGAACTCTTGTTGTATGAAATGGACTAAGTATTATAAACTCATACTTATTATTGGATCCTGAATGAAAAACGTGGATTGTTCGAGTTCTTCCTTGGGGTGTGCTCGACGGGCCCGTCCGATGTAGCTAACTTTCGGGGTGCTTAGTGTCTGGTGGAAGACAAGCGCCTCCGGAAGCGTGCTATTTCGGGTGGTTCTGCCACAGCAGCGACCTGGGAGAGGCCAAGCGGAGGCAGAGCAGCGCCGGCAGTCCCAGCACCTTGCCCACGACGAAGAGGTCCTTCCCCAGCGCCTCCACCTCCTAGATCTGCGCCACCATCTCGCTAGCGTTGAACACGCCGCGCTCGCTGTACTCCACGGCCGCGCAGCCGGCGGCGCGTGGATGCTGTTGGCCTAGTCCAGGAACTCCCGCAAGGGCCTTGCGCTCCTTGATAGCGTCGACCTCGGTGACCGTGAAGCTGATGCCCTTCTGGGAACCGAAAATCAGGAAGTGGAGAGATTTCTTTTTGGAAACCGAAAATCAGGAGAGGGTGACGCGCGAGATCAGGAGGGCAAGTTTTGCCTGGGGCGCGGTGCGGGGATCGCACGAGCGAGGCGGGCGTTGAAGCCTGTGTTAAAGTCTGGAATTCTCCGTGGCCACACGATCGTGGTGAAGCCTTTTGAGAGCACATCTTAGTCGTTGGTTTGTAAACGGAGGTTTTTCTGGATGCAAATTCTTAGGTGAATGGAGCAGATGTCATCTCTGGGAGGAGCAAATTCCTGGATAGACCGAGGGTAATTTTGATTGGCTCTTATAGTAGAGATTTTGGGTCGTGGAAGGCGGCCGTGAGGCAGAGCACGACGGCATATTCTCTTCTGTCTTCTCTTCGTCGAGGTTTCTCTATGGTTGCGAGCAGACCAGCCTGTCGTTGAGATCTGCGATGCCCAATAATACCACTACTGGGATTGGGAATGGACGACCCCAGGGAACTTTCGTTACAACGGATTAGTAATAAATAATTGTTGGTATAATAAATAATTGTAGCTAGGCCAAGAACGCAATGCTAGGAATACGTGCGAATAAATTGGACACGGAAGGGAGATAATGGCACTGACCAGTACCATCTCCAGCTGCTGCCTGCTCAAATAAGTAATCAGCGTGTTGCTCTCTTTTAATAAATTCGACAGGATGGCACTCGATGCATTGCGTATTGCTCGTTGGCTCATTGGCTCCCGTCATTAATGCGCGAGTCGCGTTCAATATATATTGCGGTGGTAGGTAACCGTACCATTCTTATAGTAATTTGCACGGGTAAGGTATAACCATTTCGGATATGAACGGATATTCTTCACACTTGTATTTTTCATTCCCATTTTAAATCATAGTTGGATATGGATACCGGACAAATATCAACAAATGTACAGCGGCGGAGCACGGTGCCAATGCAAACAAATGTGTATGTATCAAATATAGTAGAACAAGAAGCCAGATTCAGACAATGTCAGTCACATAAAATTCTTCAGATACTGAGCAAAGGCAACAACCATGTACATCACATGTTTTCAATTATTCAAGACGCTTTAGTAAAACACTAAAAACTTATAAATTCCCTCGCATTAAAAACATGTTAGTCAAAAGGCTGAAATTATTAGAAAATTTTAGATATTTTTTTGCAATAAAAGTCATTAACGGAAATTTGTATTTTCTCAATTTATTGTGAGTTTATTAAAATGTTTTAGTGCAGTTTTTTAAAAGACACAGGCCAGCGGTGGGCAAGCGACGGCCGCAAGCAACCCCTCCTTGGTGCTCGTCTGGAGTGGATGGGCCCCTCGGTGTCCTTGTCTGCTGGGCCGCGTGGGTTGTGGTGCTCCGTGTGTCCCAGCCGAGGTCTCACAATGATGTAGCGAGGGCATCTGGCTACGGTGCTGCCTGGGTGACGTTCCGCCTAGCTGTCATGGTGGTTTCTTAGCGAAAGTCTTGCTCGACTCGCTGCCGGTGTCGGCGGCCATGGCGTCCTCGGGAGTCATGTTCCTCCGATCCTTGAAGGTGTCGCTGAAAAACCACTCCTTACCGGACCTGGCCGTCGGATCTAGGGTTGGGGTTCGCTCCTGTGTGGCTACACGGGTGGATTGGGCAAGGCCCCTTTGTAGTGGCGGTTCCTGGGTGAAAGCCATGTTCGGCCGCTAGCCGGAGCTGGCGGCGATGGCGCCCCCGACATCATGTTCCTCCTTGGAGACATCACTGTAGGACCACTGCTCTAGTCTCGTGCCTTGGTCTTTGTGGCCTTCTGTCATTGCCCCACGAGTTCACCGCTATTCGTGGTCCTTCAAGAGTTGCCGGTCCACGTTGAAGCTTCTTGTTGTGCCTCTGCGTGTGCTTATCGTCCATCTTCGCAATGGTTGGTCCTACGTTTGGGTCGTCTTGACGGATGCTTTGCCACCGTCATTGAACTTTTGTGGCAGGTGCGCTTTGCTGCTACCATATCTCTCTTGGGGGATACTTGACCACCATTGGTCTCTTCCTGACGGATGCTTTGCTACCAGCGTCGCTTCGGTCTCCGCTGGTGCTTTGCTATTGAGATCGTGCTCCTGTGGCGGATGCTTTACCGCCGTGGTCGTTTGGGGCTCCCCTTCGGTGGATGCTTTTCCACTTATGTTTGTGGATGTCCATGTCTGGCTCCTTTGGGTGGATGATTTGCCACCACATGTTTAGTTTCTCTGTAGGCAACCATTGTGACGATGTCTTTAACTTTCAAAGGAGTATGCTTGTTGAGTGTTGTGGCTAAGGGTCTCCTCGTGCTTGTTCTTCATGTTCTTTGTGTCTAATGGTAATCCTTGGATTACCGTTGACTCAACTTGTACTAAGACTTCTACTTCCTCTTAATAAATACGTATCTCAAGGACACGGTCATGAAAAAAACCTTAGAGAATTCTTTACACATTAGAGACACACGCTCACAAACCCAAATTTAAAAGAGTGTATAATAATAATAAAAAACACATGACACATATTTTTGATCGATGTGAGTATTCCATCTTAAACCAAATGCGAATGCAGATTTGAACTTGGGTAGGAGTCGTAGCACGACTTGAACTTGTGCCGTGCACAGAGCAGCTTAATTAGGTAGGCGACTAATCCGGAATGCCCTATGCTTCGTGCAATTACCGTTCAATTAGCAAGTGATTGACCCTCAGGATCCAGCAGCGTCAACGTTTAGCACGTTTCTTCGATGGTTTAATGCTGGTAATTGTTAACATGGAACAAACAAATACAATCCACGCATCCAGCATAAGAAGGAACGCGCGGCATGCTGCTGTCGTGGTGCTGGCGTGCGCCACATAGGAGTATTCTTCGCTTCTACTTCCACGTCGCGAAACACGCAAGGGATCCTTATTAATAAATCCCTCGCCATTCTTCGACATCTCATCGTCGCCATCGCCACTCTCCGCATCCAGCAGCAACCAGATCAACACTCGCGTCATTGTTAAGACCACACTACCCCCGAGCTGCAGCAAGGTTCACAGCTAGCGTGGCCAGCACCCAGCAGCATGGATGGCGCCCCGACCCCGAAAGCAGGCAGCGGCGGGAAGGCTGGGCTGCCGGTGCCGGCCAGGATCGACGCCGGCGCCGGCGATGGCGCCGCCACGCCTTCTGCGCAAGTGACTAGGAAGGCGACGACGTTGCCTGGGCCCGCTGTGGGTGCGTCTCACGCGCCCGCGGCGGCAACGGCAGCCCCAGGCGGAGAGAGCAACGGCGGCGGCAGTGGCGGCGAGGAGGAGGACGACGAGCAGGTGAAGAGGTTCTATTCGCTTTTGGACAACATCCGGGCCATGCGGGGCGCGTACGGGTCCGGTTCCGGCGGTGGCACTGGGGCTTTGGACGACGGCGTCGACACAGGTGGTGGCAGCGGGGCGAGGGTGAAGCGGCTGCGGCGCTCGGAGCCGCCGTGGAGGCCGGCGTTCAGGCTGGAGGACTTCGAGGAGCCAAAAAAGACTCCGACGTCGCGCCGTGCGCCAAGAGGACGCGTGGGCAGGAGCAGGAGGCAGAGGCGGACAGCGAGGGGAGCGGCGGAGCGCGCCCAGACGTCGCCGCGGTAGTGCGTGTACGGCTCGACAGCAGCAGAAAGAGCGTGTGACGTGCGACCTGTTAGCTAATCTACTGTCACCTTGTGTGAACACAGCAGAGGAAGGCGGCGCTGACTTTGCCCCCTGCTGTAATACAGTAGCCGCTGCAGGTGCAGACGCCGCATGGCTCACCTGCAGCACTGTAGGCACATGCAGTGGCCGGCGCAGAGTCAGCCCTGTATGCTTATCTAGTTACTGTTACAGCATGTGCGCTGTACTTTAGTTAGATAGATAGAGTTGTATAAATAGGGCACAAAGGCAACTTAGTAAAGAGAGCTCAGATTTGCCATCACACAGACAGGGCCTCGGCCAACGTTGTTGTCTTGTATTGTGCGTACTTGCTCTGTTCTCCCTTCTTCTTCTAGCTCGATCCGTAGTGTGTGGGTTACAGACACAACCGGTATAGTGGTCTGGGAGACTAGTGATCTGGTCTGGGAGACTAGTGGTCTGGTCTGGGAGACTAGTGGTTTGGAAGACTAGTGGTCTGGAGACTAGTTCACTGTCGTCAGCCGGTGATCCCGTGGGCCAACAAGTGGTATCAGAGCCGTGCAAGCGCCGTCGTCATTCTAACCGACGGTGATGACAGGCGGTTTGGAGTTGGGCGATGGCAGTGGCACTGTCATAGCTGCCTAGCCACTACCGGAGGTAGTTGTCCGTACGGTGCGGGAGGTCAGCGGCACCACTTGGCCGATGCTGACTCGCACTAACTATGGAGAGTGGTCGGTGACCATGAAGGTCAAGCTCAGAGCGCGATGGCTCTGGAATGCTGTTGACAAGGGCACCGACGTGGAAGAAGACGACATGTCAGCGTTGGAGGCTATCCTCGCTGCTGTACCGGTGGAGTACAGGGAACCGTTGGGGACGAGAAGCTCAGCTAAGGAGGTGTGGGAGGCCATTGTGGCAAAGCGCGTCGGTTCCGACCGCGCAAAGAAGGCGACGGCCCAGCTTCTAAAGTAGGAGTACGCAAACCTCAAGTTCAAGGATGGTGAAACGGTGGAGGACTTTTTCCTTTGCCTGCAGACGCTCATCAGCAAGCTGAAGAGCCATGGCGTCACCATCGACGAAGAGGAGGCGGTCTCCAAATTCCTCTACTCCGTGCCGGCAAAGTACATCCAGATCGCTCTCTCCATAGAGACGATGTTGGACTTGTCCACCCTCACCATCGAGGATGTGGCAGGCCATCTACGGGCGGTGGACGAGCGCCTGGGGCAGGCGATAGCAACGAAGGACATCGGGAAACTCCTGCTGACGGAAGAGGAGTGGGCTGCTCGGCAAAACTCCAGGAAGGCTGCCTCCTCCAGTCGCGGTGGCAACGGCAAACATCGCGGCAGGGCTTCTTCGGAGAAGAAGCAAATCGACTCCAACGCCTGTCGGTGTTGCGGGAAGATGGGCCATTGGGCACGGGAGTACCCAAATTGCAAGAAGGAAAAGAAGGCTCAGGCTCACCTGGTGAAAGCCGATGATGAGGATGAGGCCACTATCCTTATGGCGACGTTCTGTGCACTGCACGACGTCGAGGCCATGGAGAGGGAAGAGGCGACGACGGTGGAAGGATCTAGCAAGGTCCTGAAGCCGACCGTCAACCTCGACAAACCACGTGCCCAAGTCCATCTTGGGCATGTGGGCATCGACCAGGAGTAGCGGTGGTATCTGGACTCTGGTGCCAGTAACCACATGACGGGCTCCAAGGACTCCTTCTCCAAGCTCGACGGTGATGTTACCGGTACGGTGAAGTTTGGTGACGGCTCAAGGGTGGCTATCCAAGGGCGCAGCACCATCATCTTCAGATGCCAGAATTGGGAGCACCGCGCGCTAACGGATGTATACTACATCCCGCAGCTGTATTCCAGCATCATCAGCATTGGTCAGCTGGATGAGCGCGGTAGCGAGGTTCTGATCAAGGATGGCGTTCTGAGGATCAGAGACCGGGAGCAGCGACTTCTCGCCAAGGTGAAGAGGTCCCTGAACCGGTTGTACCTGCTCGACCTGAAGGTAGAGCAGCCGATTTGCCTGGCGGCAAGGCACTTCGAGGAACCGTGGATGTGGCATGCCCGGTTCGGACATCTCAGCTTCGACGCGCTTGGTCGGCTGGGGAAGATGGTCCGAGGGCTACCCCACATCAAGCACGGAGGCGAACTATGTGACAGCTGCCTGGCTGAGAAGCAGAGAAGGCTACCTTTCCCAAAGGCGGCCAAGTATCGCGTTAAAGAAGCTCTCGAGCTAGTTCACGGCGACCTCTGCGGGCCGGTCACGCCTGCTACATGCGGTGGTCGGCGGTAGTTCCTCCTACTCGTGGATGATTGCAGTCGCTACATGTGGCTGCAACTCCTGATGAGCAAGGACGAAGCGGCGGAGACGATCAAGAAGTTCAAGACGCGCGCGGAGGCTGAGAGCGGCAAGAAGCTTCGTGTACTAAGGACTGATCGGGGTGGTGAATTCACTTCGGTGGAGTTTGCTACGTACTACGTGGATCAAGGTGTGGGGCAATATCACGCCGCGCCGTACTCGCCACAACAGAATAGCGTGGTGGAGCGACGGAACTAGACAGTGGTCGGCATGGCCCGATCCATGATGAAGGCCAAAGGGATGCCGACAAAGTTCTAGGGAGAGGCGGTGACCACGGTGGTGTTCATCCTCAACCGCGCTCCAACCAAAGCCCTAACGGGCAAGACACCATTCGAAGCTTGGTACGGGAGCAAGCCGAACGTGTCATTCCTCCGGACATTCGGTTGCATCGGCCACGTTAGGAAGACGAAGCCGAACCTCACCAAGCTGGAGGACAGGAGCACACCCATGGTGTTCCTGGGCTACGCGGAGGGTACCAAGGCATACCGGCTCTATGACCCACGCGGAGACAAGGTGACTGTCTCGTGAGACGTTGTGTTCAACGAGGAGGCAGCTTGGGACTAGCATAGTCTGAGCACGGGGAAGCGGGAGGCTTCACCAACACCTTCGTCGTTGAGCACTTGATCATCCATGGCGGTGGAGACACTGCGGAACAGGTGCCATGCACTTTGGGAGGAGCGCCGAGCACTCCGGCGGTAGAGTTGAGCACTTCTAGGGCAGTGCCGAGCACTTCAAGAGGGATGCCGAGCACTCCGGGAGGAGTGTCGAGCACTTCTGGAGGAGTGCCGAGCACGCCAGGAGTGGAGCCAGGAGGTTCTGCAGTGGTGGCGACCACTTCAGGACGGGTGCCGAGCACTCCTGTGGCGGAGCCAAGACGTCTTACTATGGTTTCGACCACTCCAAGATTGAGGCTGGGCACTCCTACAGTGTGGCCGAACACTGCAGGAGTTATGACGAGCAGTCCAGAAGCAGTGCCGAGCACTTCAGGTGCTATGCAGGGCACTCCGGCGGAAGAAGGAACTCCATCACCCCCGATCGAGTTTGCCTCACCTCCAAGTGACATCACTGAGTTCATGGACGCCTACCACGAAGGTGAGGAGTTGAGGTTCCGCAGGCTGGACGACATCATCGGCGGCACAGGTCCCTTAGGTCTGGCGGGTAGGCTGCTCAATGACGCAGAGCTGCTACTTGTCAGTGCAGAGGAACCACCCACATTCGCGCTAGCCGAGCGTGATGGAAACTGGCGACGGGCAATGCTGGAGGAGATGAAGGCGATCGAGGAAAACGAGACTTGGCAGCTCGTCGATCCACCCCCAGGATGCCGTCTGATCAGCCTAAAGTGGGTGTACAAAGTCAAAAGGGACGAGCTCGGTGCCATTGTCAAGTACAAGGCATGCCTCGTCGCTCAAGGCTTTGTCCAGCGTGAGGGCATCGATTTCGAGGAGGTCTTTGCACCAGTAGCGCGCATGGAGTCGGTCCGTTTGCTACTTGCTTTGGTGGCAGCAAAGGACTGGCGCGTCCATCACTTGGACATTAAATTGGCCTTCCTCAACGGTGAGCTGACGGAAACGGTCTTCGTCAGGCAACCTCTAGGGTTCGCTGTCAAGGGAGAGGAGCACAGGGTGCTCCGACTGCGCAAAGCGCTCTACGGGCTGAGGCAAGCCCCTCGAGCATGGAACGCCAAGCTTGACACCATGCTGGGCGAGCTTGGGTTTCAGAGGTGCGCAATCGAGCACGTGCTCTACACGCGATGACGGGGAAAGGAAGAACTCGTAGTCGGCGTGTATGTGGATGACTTAACAATCACCGGCGTGCGCACAAAGGATATCAACAGCTTCAAGCGAGAGATGGCAGTTCGTTTCCGAATAAACGATCTCGGCGCTCTCTCCTACTACCGCGGCATCGAGGTGAGACAGGGGAAGAAGGAACTCACGCTCGGGCAAAGCGCGTATGCCTCCAAGCTATTGGAGAGGAGCGGCATGGTAGAGTGCAAGACATGCGTGACTCCGATGGAGGAGCGGCTGAAGCTGATGAAGGACAGCACCGCGGCGAAAGTAGATGCAACACTCTACCGAAGCATCATCGGCGGTCTGCGCTACCTAGTCCACACAAGGCCAGACATTGCGTTCACCGTGGGCTACGTCAGTCGCTTCATGGAGGATCCCAGAGAGGATCATTGGGCTGCGGTGAAGCGGCTACTACGCTACGTCAAGGGGACGGTGAATCATGGAATCATCTTCCCAAAGACCAGGGGAAGTAGGCTGCAGCTCACGGTGTTCAGCGATGCAGACATGGCGGGGGACATCGACAGACGATGGAGCACCTCTGGCGTACTCGTCTTCCTCGGGTCGGCCCCAATTTCATGGCTGTCGCTGAAACAGAAGGTGGTGGCGCTATCTACGTGCGAGGCAGAGTACGTAGCGGCGGCCACAGTGGCGTGCCAAGTTGTGTGGCTACGCCGACTGCTGGGCGAGCTAACCGGCGTGGAAGCTCACCCACCAGCACTGATGGTAGACAACCAGCCCACCATCGCCCTCGCGAAGAATCCGATTCTACACGACCGGAGTAAACACATTGACGTGAAGTTCCACTTCCTCAGAGACTGTGTTGATGGAGGGCAGATCATC